CCGTGCAAAGCGAGGGTGAGCCGCTAGTCGTTAATAAAAGATAAATGAGAATGTATCTACGCTAGAGCGTTAGACTGTCTAGTGTAACAGATCCACAACCCAGCGCCTCAACTCTACTTTTTAGAAATCGGTTAAAACACGTGTGAACATATGAACTTGGCACTAAATTGAATCAAACAACTGTAACTGGAACATTCCAGTATTTTGCGTAAAAGCAATTAGCCGCTGCCTGAAGTTGCCAACTTTCAAACACCTGCTGATGATGTTCATTTTTTATTGTCAGAGAATTGTTTACCTTTTTATTTATTATATTAATAATGACTTAAACGTAACTAATAGAACCACCCCTAAATTACCTAAAAATCAATTTTATATTTTTGCATTATGCTTGATTCCTCATACAAATTGAATTTTCGTCGTCGTCCCGTGCTTGATTCCCCATACACATATAATTTTCACCCCCTTAAGGGATGATTTCCGGGATAAAAAGTATCCTATGTCCTTCCCAGGGTCTCAAACTATCTTCTTACCAAATTTCATCTAAATCGGTTCAGTAGATCCAGATACCTCCTACAACGTCACAAACTCACAAACTTTACCTCTTTATGATATTAGTATAGATATCGATTGTAGAAAACCATCTGGCTAAGAGATTATTTTAATCGTCGTAATAAGCTATAGTAAGACTTATCGGTAATTGACCATCTCATTATTTAATATCTGTGTGTGCGTGCGTGTGCTCTAAGGACATAATAGAATTTAATAAATATATTTTTGTCGACGTTTCTACAGGGCTGTAATAAAATACATCTCATTTCTATTCCTGTTATCGTAAATAAATTATTTTTTCATGAATATTTGCTGAAGCATTATATTCATGAAGATTATTGTACAGTCACGACCCTGTCATAATTTGAATCCGTGCTCTCGTGATAAAGATCCTGTCAACGAAACGGGGCGTATTCTGTAAAAGCTCTCAAATGTGAGCCCTAGTATCAACTTGAAATTGTAATTAAATAGCCAAGACGTTTTTTAGGAAGTTATTTAGTTCATATATTATAATGAATTTTGAATATTTTCAAGATGTTTCTCTTGAAATGTAATCATATTGCAAATATAAGATTAACATCTATACATATAATGAAATTGTAACTAAGTCGAATCTGTACATTAAATATTTTTTGGAAAATCTAATTGAAATAGACATTATTATCGATACAGAGTCCGAATCTATAGTTTTTAGAATTTTTGTCTGTCTGTCTGTTACCGCATCACGAGAAAACCACTGGACAGATTTTGATGAAATTTGGTATGATGATAGCTGGTTATCCGCGTCAACATATAGGATACTTTTTATCGCGGGAAAATATCTCATTTCTGAGAAAAAATACAAAAACTGCAATGTAAGAGTATACTAATATATAAAACCTAAAAATTTGGTTTTTGGGTATAATGCTAGTTTCCTATATTATTCGATATTCCCTATATATACGACTTAAAGTTTTGTCTTAAGACTGATACTTACATATTTATGGTGATATAAATATATACATAATATTAACCTCGTACAGGAATTGAACCCGCCACTTTTGTCATAGCACCTATTGTCAGTCAGATAAAAACCAATCGTTGATCGGCATAAAAATTGTTATATAGCTTTATATCAAATATATGTAAATATATGTACATATATCAGTCCAATTTTTCTAAGGACTCGTAGCAACAAGCAGACTCCAACTAATAAAGTGACAGAAAATTTCAAAAACTCTTTTGGCTCGAGTCAGGGCTGGAACTGGTTCCTAAAACAGGGAAAAGGATAAGGGTCCTAAAACAACAGCAACTGAGATTAATAAATAGTACTCCGCGATGATAGTGAGTGAGCAAAGCTTTCAGCCACTGTGGTCTTTAGATTTTCAAACTACCAACTTTAGAGTTTTGAAACTTAGACACATGGGCGTACCCACCCACCCAGCTTTTGGTCCAGGGGGGGGGGGGCAATACAGAAATTTATTAAATCTGGTCCCAAGCGTGGATCTAGAGGGGGGGGGGGGGTGTCAAGGAATAATACAAAATTATTTTTTTAAGTACCTAAATCGAAACAAATGAAGTTTATCTTTAATTTAAATATGCGCTATACAAATAGTCCGATCGCAATGCGCTACAAAAAAATTAAAACCTGGAGCTTTATGTTTTTAAGACGTTAGCAGGTATATAAAGAACAAAATCCGTAAAATACCTCCGCTATTCAGCTACGCCCGAATGGGGGGGGGGGAAGTGGGGGGAGGGGGGCGCAGATGGGGGGTGTCTAAACGTTGAAAAATAAGTTTTTTTTCTATTTCTGCCTTGTTGTGACATCCTATCGAAAAATATTCTTTACAAAAGTTGTAGTTCTAGTAAAAAGCTACAAATTTTACAATACCTCAAAATTTTCGACATATTTCCAAAAAAACCACTTTTTAATTATTATTTTTTAATTTCTGCAATTATTTTTTGATTTTCATGAAACTAGGGGAACATAATCTTCGAAATACTTACATATAATATCCATTTTATTGAAATTGATATGTTTAGTCGTTTACGAGAAATTTATATTTTATGCTCTCGGAAGGCTTAAGCCTTTTTTAACCACCCCCAATTTAAAAAAACTATCGTTCATTTTTCAGATATTTTGATTTTTGGTTCCCGACGTTTCGGCTTAAATAATTAATACTATATTTTATATTTTTCTTTATGGTTATAAATATAATAATGGCAACACTAAATATAGATTACTAATTAATATTTTTAAAATTGTAATAATTATAAGAATAACAGCAAAAATTAAATAAATAATGTTCCATATTCAATTATAAAACTATTTAAAATTATAAAAATGTTTAAAGTTAAAAAATATTGTAAGGTAAATGGTACAATTTTCATTTTGTTAATTGTGGGTAGGTTACCGTACACCACCACCACCACCACACCGAACACTAATTATTTTTAAAAATAAAATTAGCTGAGTTTTAGCTGTTACTAGGGTGCGCCGACGTTTGACAGAAACGCGCCTAGTTTAAACGCTGTTTAATATGCTCATTGCTCAACTATATAGATGTTTCAACTTACATTAGCGCTTTTTCTGACATTATCAATTTTTGACCTTGCTGTGTCCATATAAACTTTTAATCATCATCGTTTTACAAATTACATATAATATAATTAACCAAAGTTTCAGCCAAATCAACTGAACAGTATTTTATAGCATTTTTGAAGTTATACAACATTTTCATTACATATTATAGTAATACAAGTTGACCGGGCGCGCAGCGTATTTTTTTTATAAGTTAACACATAATATATTGTAAAGTAATTCGTAACACTCGTAACCTGACTCCAACCTTTTTCGACAACAGTAGGCACAAAGTCATCAGTAGAAATAGTACCCAGACACTAGACACGACCAGGGGCAGCTGCCGCCAGTCCCCCCCCTGCCCCTACCTGGGTACGCCCATGCTTAGACATATTACACACATACTTCAAAGTAAGGTAGCCAATTTAAATAAACATGTAGCTTGATCTTGATAGCGATGTGTAAAATATATTATTTTCTATTTATTAGGTATAGGTATTCTATGTGTATTTTCACATTAACACACTAAATCTTAATATAAGATATTGTCATTACTATAGCAATATTTGTTTAAAAAATAAAAACAGATTTATTTCACGGGAACCGTACATTTTTCCGGGATAAAAAGTAAAGCTATGTGAATTCTATTGATATACTAGAATTAATATTAATTAATATCTATTTCTATTAATTCTATGTGCTATTCCAGACTATAATCTATCTCTGTGCCAAACATCGAGATCCGTTCAGCCGTTCTGGCGTGAATGAGTAACAAACATCCAAACATCTAAACTCTTACATTTATATTAGAATTATATTTTTTAATATTATAAATGTATTTGTTAGTGTGTCCTCTTTTTACAACTGAGACCTCAGTCGATGTGGTTTTCATCAAAGATATACTTTAGGGAGAGTGATATAGGATAGACATGTTGTACATTCAAACATTTAGTGGTTCTCTTGAAATATCACAGCAAAATAACTTGATGTTTTATTATTATTTAGTAGAATAATAGTTTAGTAGTATAATTCTTGTATACCTATATATAAATTTATTGTATTAAAGAATAATTTAAAAGTATACGTTGCCGTTTTGAAAAATTGTAAGAAATTATAATAGGAAGGTCACGTTTTAGATAAAAATTTGAAACAAAAATGTTTCTTAAGTAGATGAGATTAGATTTAATATTGGTTGTTCTGTTTTGCAAGACGATTGTAATATTAATGTAACACCTTTTTAGACGTAAAGTTATATTTTTTATTGTTAAACTTAAAAAAAGGAGTTATTGCTATAATTTTAAACGATATTTAATAATAGTTCAAATACATATAATATTCTCATCTAGAGCCAGAATGAATAATTGACGAGAGTCTCGTCAAGGCGAGAGGTATTAATTCATCGTTCAATACGCTGGCGAATTAGAGGTTCTCGTAAACATGCAAGTAACCTCACGACATTTTTAATATTTATGCTAGCAATTGATACCTTGCTGGTCTCGTATGTATGATCTATAGAACCGTAGGACATAGGTCGGAGTTCCGGGTTGAATCAAGTATAAATATTAAGTTTTTCGGTGTAGTGTTTTCTTAGGTTAGTGGTGTGACACCCTATACCATAGCCACGCCTAAGAGAAAATGTAAATCCTTCAATCTCGTCTTGATTTCTGAGAGTAAAAAAATAGAGTGCATTTATGTTTGCACACACAGACATATGTTGAAAATGAGCTACTCATCAATAGTCCTCCACAAGCTGCCCTGCAGCTTTATTTATATATACGCTGATGATATGGTGTTGCTCAGCCCCTCGATTAAAGGCTTACGAAAACTTATCGCGATATGTGAAAGATATGCCAAAGAGCATAATCTAACATATAACGCAAATAAAACAGAAATGATAATATTCAGATCGGGAGAGGTGCCACAAAATGTCCCCGTCGTTTGTGTTAATGGGCAGCCTGTCAAGGTAGTGGACAACTTTAAGTACCTTGGCCACATCGTAACTTCCCGTCTTAAAGATGACGCAGATATCGAGCGACAACGTAGGGCTCTATGTGTGGTGGGCAACATGATTGCTAGAAAATTTAAATGCGTAGCGCCTGACGTGAGAATTACTCTGTTCAAAGCTTTCTGCCAGTCGTTTTACACGTGTCAGCTCTGGACTAACTATACTAAGAAGTCGCATGATGGCATACGAGTAGCCTACAATAACGTTTTTCGAATCCTCATGGGCCTGAAGCGTTATTGTAGCGCTTCAGAAATGTACGCGGAGGCGAGGGTCGACTCATTCAATGCCATACAACGTAAGAGGATTGCATCGTTCATGTCCAGGGTCCACGTGTAATAATGGCATTATTAGAATTCTGTCTGCTAGGCTGATGCTGTCAGCAATGTACCGACGCTGGGTGGATATTGCCACCTAGTATCTATTTGTAATTTATATTGTTTATATTATTTTATTTTTATTGTATTATTGTATGTGTACTATGGATCAAGGGTCTGAAATAAAGAATTATTATTATATTATTATTATTATTTATAATATTAAGTATGGATATGGATGTCAAATATTGGCGTAAATCTAAGAAAGTATTATGAGAACTAACTTTATCAAAAAATGTGACCTTAAAATGGACTGCGTTTAACCCTAAATGTTTCAGAAACACTAAAACCTAAGTGATTCAAGTGAGTGGTTAATATAGTCCTCTCTCGCGTGTTAGTCGACCGCGTGCGCCGCTCGTGTAGACGCTGCGGTCACGCTTCGTATATGTTAGGCTGACTACAGACTTTTAGAACCTTTTTTTTACGTTGGGAAATGCATTTACGCACGAAGTGTGGGATTCACCGGCGAAGCCAGTACTATCCACTAAAACCCAACAAAACCTTCCCCCGTCTTAATGGGGCGCCGCAGGATCGCTTACGCATTCAACTACGACGCCCCGACGACAGGTCTGCCGAAGCAGACCACAACAACCACGGGGCTGCTCCAAGGTCCACTCTGCTATCAGAGAAGTACCAGGAGCAACCCGCATGGAACACCGCCCTCCGAAGAGGGCCGCCTCCCACCGCCTACCGAAGCGGGCCACCTCCCTGTGCGTTTCTTGGCTTCGCGCCCGGCTGTATTGCCGGGCACTACTTAGCCCCCCCCCCACGACCAGGTGAACGCACGTTGGGGGGGTATAGGGACGAACCTGAGCGAAGCGAGGATAAGTTGATAATTAAAGATAATTTTATAGTTTTTTGAAATTACTGTTGGAAAGAAATTGGGGTCAGTGACTACATTTTTTATTTGATCAGACTCAGAGAGAAAATATGAAGGAATGATTCGTTTTTAGCTTACTTTTAAAAAATAATTGATAATTATTATTAATATGGGGACTTTATTTTGAAAAATAAGACTTTGAAAGCTCGTCATCGAGCTGCCTGTTTCTAACAAACTATCAACTGTTAGAGAACTGACCGTGTATATAAAATGGAATTAGCTGATTAGCCACTCAAAGCTCTTTATCAAACCGACACTGTCCGTTATCACACATTTTAGAAACAGATAATAATTTGGTAGTTAAACTTCTGAAACTGTTGAAACCTAAGTTGTACTTTAGATATTTGACTTTGTATCTTTCAAATTTTCTAATTACCCAGTAGATAGCTGTTTGCAAATAAAATATTTTTTGAACTTAGATTCTGTTAACGAAAGGCAATCATTATGCTTTTAATTATTTTATTTTCCCGTGATAATATTATACATGTTATTCTTGAAGTGAAACTTCTTTAGGCACGCCATGATAGGGGGAAAACGGATTTTTGTAACGGAAACGGTTGTTACGGAAGTGAATAAATAGTCAAATAAAAAAATACTTCTTTCATTTATTTTTGAATGAGTGAAGGAATCATATCAAATAAATAAATATTGTTGAACAATATTTACTTGAAATATTGTTTTTAAATACTATAAATATATATTTCTTATAAAAAATTCCATTTATGTAGTATTATTTATTTTATTGAAGTTATTTTAGTGGACATTTGCTTGAAAATTAAAATTTACCTTAACACCATCTACCAATATATGTGAATAATAAAATATTGTTTTCCTTTTTAAATCGATAAACGAATATTTTTGGTATCTTTCCTATCCTAATTATTTAAAACATAAATTCAATATACACATTGATACACGCACTCCTGAATTTTTTTATAGTTATCGCTATAAATAGGTTTGAAATTAGAAAATAAATAAAAGCATCAGATTGTAAGAGTATCTTTAAAGTTATATAAATGAATATTCATAAACTATGTCAAAACTTAAATATAAGCTTGTTTAAAATTGTTTTAAATAATCACTTATGTTACATAAAACATTGGTCAAGTGCGAGTTGGACTAGCACACGAAGGGTTCCGTACAAGATATAACATGTACTAATTGTTTTTTTTTTATTGGCATCGCGGCCATTTTGAAATTAACCAACTTGGTTTTTTTAGTATTAGTTGTTATAGCACCAATAGAAATATAAACTCTGTGAAAATTTCAACACTCTACATATTATGGTTCATGAAATACAGCCCTCTGACAAACAGACGGACGGACAAACGGCAGACGGCGGAGGAGTAATTGTAAAAGTACCCGTTGGTACCCTTAGGGTAAGAACTACAGACCGTTAAAAAATGATTTAAAATGTCTTCATTAATTTCTTTCAAAAAGCCAGAGGTTCAAATGTGGTGGGTAAATTGTTTATGGACTTGTTAAGAAGTTCGTGGTCGAAAAATTATTTCCAATATATACCTATAGTTTGCAAACTGGTGGAAATAGTAAAACCGGGTCGTTTCGTGCTTCATAACAGGCAAAGAAAAATATATAAAAATGAAAAATTCTTGCCATGTTTTAACAAATATAAATTAAGAATTTTAAAATAATTTATGTACAGTATTTAATATTTGTATACGTTTTAGGTACGTTTACAAAATAATGGGTGCGGAAAATTAAAGAGACCCTCAATATTGTAATTTCCAGTAAAACATAGTATTACGTATTCATGAAAGCTTCATTGAGGTGGCCCTAGTGTTCTTCTAGTATAGAGTTGAACAGTCTATTCAACAAAATATTTACGAGAGCATACCATTATACATTGTAAGTTAGTTGAATAACTCTTGAGGAAAAGATAAATGTTGTTGTTGTTGGGACATAGACACACAACACCATCTAGTTCCATGGTAAGCTAAGAGGCCTGTGTTATGGATACCAAATAGTTGATACACTACACATATATAACTTTAAATACATACACATTATAAATATAAACACCCATGACTGGAGTACAAACATTCGTGTTCATCACACAAATGAATGCCCCCAGCGGGACTCGAACCCGCGACCGCTGGCACAGTAAGTAGGGTCACTACAAACTGAGCCAAACGTGTCGTAAAACCTAAAGGTATTTTAATTATTACATACTAGCGGATCACCCTCGTTTCGCTTGCCTCTAGGAAAACCAAAACAAACCCACGGGAACCGTACGTTTTTTTTCGAGATAAAAAGTACTAATATTAGACTATGTGTTATTCCAGACTATTATCCATCTCTGTGCCACCACCGGATGTGCAGCCGTACATAGCCACTGCACCACCGAAGTAGTTAGTTGATATAGTGACGTATGATATTAGCATGATTTTAAGGCTATTTTAAAGAAGGTGAAATTCATAGGAAATTAAAACAATCTATTACGTAGGTTTTCATGGCCAGCCGATACAAAGCAAAGCATACCTTCGAAAATATTTGATTAGGTATGTATAGTAAATGAAAACTACCAATCAGTTATTTTTTACTTTTTAGTGCTTTTGTTTGAAGTCGGTTTTTATTTTTTTTGTTAAAATGTTTTTATTTCTTCCTGTGTTCGTCTCATTTATTCTTCAAATATTATAAAATGTAGAGTAAGTCGCAGAGTTCGCAAGAGACAAAAATGTTAAAAATTGTGTTTTTCTTATAAGCATCGTATATAATCCCATATGCATTTTGTAAAAAGCTGTTTTTTTTGACATTACAGACAGACACTTCAATTTTATTTTTCTGTAGAAGATATAGATATAGAGTTAGTTTAGTAGATAGCGACGGTTTTGGGGTTTTAACCGAAAATGTAAAATACTGTAGAAGTGATGTAAATGTAGGATATGCATATTAGTACATGGCCTAGATATTTTACTAGGGATAGAATCATCTTTGAACGTCCTAAATTACCTATTCCCAATTAATAGTCGACTAACAGAGAGCAATGAATTCAATCCCTCGGAGCACGAATGCGGAATCACTAATGTAGGTCTATACCTACCTACATGAGAGAAAAGCGAGCTTTATGCAGATTTCCAAACGTATAAAAATATCCAAAACGAGGAAAATGTTTCTTTGTCTCACACTAGTGTAGGTCCGTAGCTATGCTTGTTTGGTATGTACATATTACATACATACAACATTGAAAACGAGCCTGTTAATTTATTAACTTTCCCTATTTTATTAAAATTTGGATTTCACTTAAGTTCAATAAGCCATTATAGCGTGTAGAAGAAGAAGTAACAAATAAACAAGTTCAAAGACTTTCGTATATATAACATTAGTGTAGATACTTGTAGTTACAATTTCTGTTACATATTGACATGTGTACCGTTACAAAATAAATTTGTGAGGCTTCGCTCTAAGTGGGTGTGGCGATGTGCCTCTGTACCCATCCAACTACATTTACTATAACTGATATTAAAACGTAAGATTAAACTTTTGGCGAGATATATATATATATGTGTGTGTAAAAACTATAAGTTTCTTATGCTTTTTACTTTCAAATCAAACTTTCGACGCTTGGTTTAATGTTAAAACCGATTGCATGTATACAGATGCAAGGCACCGATCAAATAAAATGTCAATGGCCTTGCTTTGCTTAAATATATTTAAAATCATTTATTGCCCTTAAATAAGAAAAGAGTATCATTTATAATTATTAAAACTAGCGACTTACGTGCGTCCCTGGGGAAGTGAATTACTAGGTTTACAATTTTGTGGGTTTTAATTTTTTGCATGAAACCCTGATTCTTTTTTTAAAATAAAAGTAGCTATGTTATTCCTTACAATATCAGCTATCAGCCAGTGCAAGTCCCGTCAAAATCGGTTCAGCCGTTTCGAAGATTAGCCGGAACAAACAGGCAGAGAGAGATTTTTTTTTTCTTATTAATACCTTATATACGTTTATATGCATTTAGTAAAAAGCTGTTATTTTGACATTACAAACAGACCCTCTAATTTTATTTATCTGCCTATAGATTTATATGAAGACTATAGTAAATGTATGTAAAATAATT